AACTGTGTTGTATAATTAATGTAACTTCCACTTCTGTGAAAGTTCCAAAATCCAAAGGAGTTATTTAAGGAAGAGTTTAAGCATGTACATATTGCTAAATCTTTGGGGAACAAAGGACTTTTTAAGTACAGAGAAAATGAGAGAACTAATACTCAGCAATTTATTATCAAAGTATATTCCCAAAGAAACTAAAATAAGACTGTAAGTTACACAGGGAATCTTAATATTTAAAATACTGTTTTACTCATTAATCACTTATTCCAAATAATAATGTAAGTTAAATATAGAACACTAAAACAACTGTCATGAGTACTCCTATATGTTAAACCTAATCGATTTGTTTAAATTATGTTAGAAATAAAACCAAGCCATTTCAAGCAAGCTCTTCTTTCTCTTTAAAACAGTCAGGAAACTATATATATTTATATTTGAAAAATATATTTAGTAGAATACACATAAATACATGTATATCTTACATACACATGTATAGAATTCTTTAAAAATCATAAATATTCAAATAGCAGAATATAATAAAATATATTTCACACAGAATCTAAATTGATAATTTAGAAGGAAATCAAGATAGTAAACACTCTCGAAATTTTATACCTAAACACAAACTATCCAAGTACCTATTCTCCTACAAGATTCCCAGTGCCAGAACAGTGGGCAATATTTGTTACGTCAAGGAATAAACTAGTTTCTTTCGTATTAGAAAGCACATACTTAACAGATGTGATTCAACTACCTTGCGCATAGTAACTATTACTAGTCAATCAGCTCACTCATTTCTTACCTGGAAAACACAGACAGCGATACTTAAAAATTTCATTTGGGAAAACATTTAGGATAGACTTTCTCTTTTCTACACATGGAGTCAATTTGTAATGCCAGGAAGGACATATTACTCCTTTCATTATCCCTTTCCTCACTACTGGGCATCCTCTAAGTACTTAGTACTATGTTGGGTATGGGTTTGCCAACAGGGTACATGAGCAGAAAATACAGACAAGAAATAAATGTCATGCTCTCACTTCCTCTCATGAAAGTCTTAGAATCCACACACTGCAGATGAAGGTAGCAGCATCACTTTTATGGGGTGAACTGAGTCCCAGATGCCTCCATGCAGCTAAGCTGAACCCAAACCCTGTATGGAACACCACATTCTGTGCCAGAAGTCATCAGGCATAATAAACAATCCCGAAACAGGAGTTTACAGTACAGAACACAGCTGAAGCAGTGCATCTGTGCTGCAGTGCTGTTTGCCTAGAGGAATGCCCTAGAGTGAGCCAGGAGGCCTCAAAGCAGCGATGGAATCTGCACTGAAATCAAGAAGTTCACTATGGCTGTGGACACAAATTTGTTTGAACACTGTTTAAAAACATCTCCAAAAAATCGAGAAACCTAGATCAAATCCTTGCTCTTCCGCTAACTGACTTTTAATTGAGAGGGAACAACTGGCTATTTCTAAGTTTTGTTTTCTGCACTTGTAAACAGCGAATTGTCCATGAAGTGAAAGGCGCTGGCCCATGCAGGCACTCAGTACATGCTCGCTTTCACTGTGCTTTCAAATACCATCATCCACCTACCAACACAAAGGCTCCAGACTCACAGACCTGGTAAATCCACCAAAAAGACAGTTATTGCCATCACATTTGTGGTAACATGGCTTTTTACAACATCTCTATGTTGGGTTTTAAAAAATCTACCTGAAAAAAAAAATCAGTTTAAGCCTTACTTAAGAAAAAAGAAGCCAAACTAAATAAATCCTGAACAGGCAGGTCTTAGAATGCATATATTCTCGAAGTTTGTTTCCTGTAAGTCAGATGTTTAGAAGGAGCAACATATTTTCCCACAAAAACAAGTTTCAAGATCCCCAAGCCAGCTTGTTTAATGTTAGCCAAAATAAATCCCTAATTTCTGTTCTACGACCATCACCATTTAGAACAAAGAAGTCACTGGAACATGTATTCAGAGTTCCAGGTTGGGATGATCCGTGGGAGACAGCTCTTCCTCCTAAAATCCCACTAGCGAGAACACAGGGGCTTCCTTTCACGAGCCCTGACTCCAACCTTCTCATCTACGAGAGAACATTGCCTGCTCTTCTGTACCCGTCCCACCTCCAAACTCCAAACTCCAAACTCCACTAACATGTTCACATAACCCCTTAGGACAAGGATGGAAACGGGCGGCATGGGAGGGGGAGGTAAGAAACCTGGGCTTGTCTGAAGGGTGATTTGAAAGGAGGCAGGCACTGGGGTGTGACTAGGAAATGAGGAAGGTTTCCTTCTCACCCCTCCCTCTTTTATATAGTTACTTTCACTGAAAAACCAAAGCAGAGTGAGGGCCAAGCACTGGACCAGGAAAGCAGGGATTAACATAGCAGCTCTTCTGCAGCGGCTGGATCAGACTCCCCTCCCTCGCTTCTTCTCACTGCTGTGCTAGTGTTACAAACAAGGACGGCATTCAGTCCTTCCCGGAGACTGCGAGTTCTTTCACCACAGGTATCATCTCCTGCCTGACTTTGTACCCTTGGTGCCTGAAAATCTGGCACACAGTAGGTGGTCAACATATGTGTTGAATGAATCAATAAACAGAACAGTAGTGGATGCTGTGACTCATCACCCAGAACCCACTCTATAACCGAAGGGCCTATGTTCCTGGCTGTTGGGAGCATTGCTGGCAGACAGGCCTCAGTCAGCCCTTAGGGAAAAGCCTTGACTGAAGAGCCATCCTGGCCGCAGATCATACTCCTTGCTGGGGCAGCCTGCATCTAACGACTGGGGACACAGGCATACCTTGGAGAGAGCATGGGTTCAGTGCCAGACCACTGCAGTAAAGCAAATAAAGAGAGTCACAGGAATTTTTTGATAAAAGTTATGTTTATACTATACGAAGTGTGCAATAGCATTATGTCTAAAAAAACAATGTACATACCTTAACTGAAAAACACTTTATTGCTAAAAAATGCTAACCATCATCTGAGCCTTCAGAAAACTGTAATCTTTTTGCTGGTGCGGAGTCTTGTAAAAAATCTAATACCTGCAAAGCGCAATAAAACGAGGGACGCCTGTACAGAGGTCCAGCTCCCCTCACCCCAACCTGAGACGACTCTAAGGACCGTCCCAGCGTCAGGGCTCCCCCTTGCGGCTGTTGAGTGCGTTACAGCCCAACTTCTCCCGTGGAAACCCGGCTTCCCTCCCTTCCACGGCATTGGTCCCAAGGCTTCCCCAGCAAGTGTGCTGCACTCTCGTTTCCACCTCAGAGTCTGCTTGCAAGAAACCCAACCCGAACCAACAGTCCCACAGAGGACCTAAGTGTGACGCAGGTTTAAACCGCCCAAGGAAAGGTATCTGACTTCATATTAAAGGTCAGTAAATATAAAACGCTTTAAGAAAGGCCATGCAATGAACTCTTTTTATCCCCAGCAATTTGTTTCCATTTCAGCTCCTTTAAATAATCAAGAGACCTAGAGTATTTTGAGGGCCACCTCAAAAAAGTGCATCTGTTTTACTATCATGTAAGCTATTAATGACAAACTATACCAAATTCAACACTTGTCTAACTTAAAACAAAGCAGAAAAAAATTAATGAATTTAGTGTAAACAGTATAAGGCGCTACAGAGAACAGAGCTGTTTTTATTGTGTTAATCAAGCTGACTTTATAAGGCATTGCTTTCCCATTAAAAGATATTCAACATATTAAATACAGTACTTTTAATTGCAATTAACAGTTAGAAATTCGATGCTTACATAAAAATCACTGTTAAAATATGAAGAGGTGCAAATTCCCAGCAAGGCACAGCTAAGTAAAAAATAAATGAATAAGTAACAAAACTATTTGCTTTATCTGGATCCAGCTCCACTGGACTCAAGCTATTTTGGGCTCAAATAATACCTTAATCTTGCGAGAATAGTTGATGAGGACTCAAATATCTTAACCTTGCAAGAATGGTTGTTAAATTGAGGCTCAAGAATTATTTTAAGCATAATAAGTACTCATTTTTTTAGATTTTTTTTTTAAACTGTAAGACTACTTGGCAATTTGCTACGCAGCATGGCTAGAGACCATCTGATAATTCATGCTCACTACTAAAATCTGGAGGTATTGCCAAAGTGTATAGATACCAATATTCAGCTTTCCTGTGGAAGCTAAATAAGTGGTCTATATGTGGAAAAGTTTCAGTCCATACTTCCTGGAAAATGGCCCAAAAGGCATTTAGTAGACGTGCGTATACTGTCCTTCTTGCCAGAATAAGTGACTCAATTCTATCTGTATCTATTTCAGCCAACGTACCTGGACTGGAATCATCTGCATGTGGAAATTGAAGAAGCATGCTGAGTGACACTGAACACCAGCATGCCCTTTGCCTACTACTTCACCGTTATCCTCTTCTTTTCTTTCAAAGATACAAAAATTAACTAAGTAATATTACTTGTCTGCAGAGACATGTTTTGAAAGTCATAAGATGATATTTAATCAAAGAAAACGGAAAATGGCAGGGTACTGAGAGGACCTGGTGCCAGTACTAATACACATACAGCATTTTAACCAAAATTAGTATCACTGAGTTGCTATAATTTGATTCCACAAATGTTTCATTAATTTATTTAATCCTTAGCTTCCCTATCATAAAAGCAACCACTCAGAACCCATCTTTATTTTTAACACCACTTTTATTTTCTTGTGCTTCCCTCTGAATATCTCCTGCACATATTTTCTTGTTTGTTTCCTTTTATAAGGAAATGCATTAAAAATCAGTATTATTATTAGCTTCCTAGATAACAGCATAATATTCAATTTCTTGCCAAAATAAAATTAAATAGCTTTGAGTCATTTTATTTGGTGGGTTTTTTAAAAGACAGTTAGTCTGCAATTAATTATTTAGACAACCAGCTTCCTGATGGCAGATCTTTCTTCAAGTACAGAGAAACAGAGTCATCTCTTAAAATTTAGTTATGTGGAAAGTCTGAGCCGTATTAGGCCTTTTTCATCTTACCATGAACACTTCCTAATGTAATATCCCCAGCAGCAGAAGATAGAAATGACGAATCTGTATAAAGATACTTGGCTTTCAGCAAACCATCTTCAGTAGATACACTAACAGAACTTCCCTGCAGTTTATCTATGGTCACAGTCTGGTAAGAGAAAGACACACATCAGTTCACTACAAACAAGACGGGTAGAAAGCCAGAATGGCACCGACGGAGTCAGTGGGCGACTACATAAAAACACTATCCAGCACACAATCACTCGACTGACTTTGATTCCCTAGCTTTAATCACAAGATCGTGAACAACAGGGTCTTCTCTGAGGAATGTGGAACAGACCCATTATATTCCTTCATTTATTTAGATCTTCTTTAATTTCTCTTAATAATGTTTTATATTTTCTATGTAGAGTTCCTCTTCATCTTTTAAATTTATTCCTATTTGATATTTTCTAAGTGCTATTATTAAAGATATCTTTTTTAACTTCATTTTATTTTAATTGGCTGTTGTATTTGACCTTAAATCCAACAATTTCACTAAACTCACTAATTCTAATAATTTACCTGAATTAAAAGAATTTTTCTACATGCATAATTACATTGTCTACAAGTGATAGTTTCATTTCTTCCCTTCCAATCCTTATATTAATAGTTTTTCCTGCTCTTTCTTACCTTACTATCTGGCTCAAGCCTCCAATTCAATGGTGAATAGAAGCAATGAGATAGTAAGCATCCTTCTCTTATTCCTGTTCTCAGCGGGAAAGCTTGCAACATCTCATCATCGAGTAGGATGCTTGCTATAGACATCTTTTAGATTCTTTTATAAGATTAAGGAGGTTCGCCCCTATTTCAAATTTGTTTTATTGTTGTTTAAATCATGAATGGTTTTTGAATTTTAACACACACTTTATCTGATTTTATTGGACTATTATATGATTTTTCTCCTCTAGTCTGTTAATGTAGTGAATACACTATGATTCTTAGAACTTTTCCACTTTACATCTAATAAAGCAATAGCTTTCCATTGAACAAAATGGAAGGAATTTAGTATTTATCCCTAAACTTCCTTAACAAAATTTGCTATGTATTTATGTCTCAAATATTGAGCACAATGTAAAATGAAGACATTTATTTAAGGATTTCAAATTACCTTTATAGTATTTTAAACAAATGTTTTATAAGCATAAAGCGAGTGTTAATATAAAATTGTTGACATAAAAACTGACTCACCAGGAACGCTTGCTACAGTTTTGCCCAGGGTCAAATTCAAGTATTGCACCATAGTGTTTAAAGAAAGAATATTATTGTTTTTCAACAAATTGGCATCAGTGTCATCCACTCCTAATATGTCCTTCAAAAACTGTTGAGTTCAAAATGTCACTTAATAAGAATTGAGTTTTAAGAAACTAAAATATTAGAAGAAAATGTAAAAGTACAAAAAAAGAAAGAAAAGAACCCAGAGGTTCTTACAGAAAGCAAATTAAAATTACTCTGCCCTCTGGATTTGAAGTATATAACTTTCTTTTTTAATGGACTTTTTTTTTGGTGAGGAAGATTGGCCCTGAGCTAACATCTGTGCCAATCTTCTTCTATTTTGTATGTGGGATGCTGCCACAGCATGGCTTGATGAGTGGTGTGGAGGTCTGTGCCGGGGATCCAAACCTGCGAACCCTGGGCCCCTGAAGTGGAGCACATGAACTTAACCACTACATCACTGGGCCAGTCCCTTAATGGACTTTTATTAAGTATATAATATACACCCAAACTGCTTCTTATCTACTGCAGTTTCTTTTAAGCTAATTACAGATTCACTGGAATTTTTACTTCAAATGCAGTTTCAACAAATCTGTCAAAGAAAGATAGATATTTTACCTACATTCATATTTGTGAGAATACAAATGTTTTGCATTCCTCAGAGTTATAATAAAGGTACAAAATTCCTGAAAAAATTTATCCTTTACCTACAAAGTTTCTTCATGAAAAGTTGCTTTATGTATGGTTTCAAATTCTCCAAGTATTTCCATAAAGCAGACATCAAGTAGGAATACTCCAGCTTTTTATAGATAGTGAGGATATTTAAGTGAACACCAAAAGATGAAATTGAAAGAATATTTGAAACTTAAGTGAATTGGCAAAGGGGCACTTTTGATTGGATTCTCCCCACAACCAAATCAAGCCTCTAAGAGACGCCTTATGAGGATCCTGAAAGTGTCCAGGATTTGCTTTGTTCCTTAAACACTAAACATGTTACTCTGTGGGAAGCTAGAAAAATATCCTCCCCTGCCCCACCAAAGCAAGTCAAAGTATAACACCTCCTCCATAACAATAATGTAGTTATTTTAAGCAATTGTTCCTTAAAATTAATTTCAAAGAAATTCAAGTCCCTGAGGGCCACACTATAATGCACTATACCAGATACTAACTGGAACAATTAGACTTAGAACACTACAGTTCACAGCAAAACATTGAGGCTCTGATTTATAGTTATTAATGCTAATGGAAAAGTCATAAATCGACTCTTTGGATTAAACTGTATAGCTTGCTTATTAATAGAAGGAGCTATTTAAAGAAAGAACAAAAAGTAGATCCCTGGGGCCAGTCCCGTGGATGAGTGGTTAAGTTCGCGCCCTCTGCTTTGGCGGCCCAGGGTTTTGCCGGTTCAAATCCTGCGCGTGGATGGCACCACTCATCAAGCCATGCTGAGGTGGCATCCCAGATGCCACAACTAGAAAGACTCACAGCTAAAAATATACAACTATGTACCGGGGGGCTTTGGGAGAAAAAGGAAAAATAAAATCTTTAAGAAAAAAAAAGAAAAAAGTAGATCCCAAAATCAATATCTTCCTGACATCGATATTGCTATAAATTAATTTTCTTTTCTACATGAAAAGGAAGATTTTTCATAAGGTTAGTTATTATAAATCAATATAACATATAATGACAACCAAGTTTTAAGGAAGCATGTGGTTTTGCAGCTCAAACTAGGAAAGAGAGGTCAACCAACAACCACATCATCAATTCATCCAACATCAGATGAAGTGGATTTCTATCTTCTCTGTACCAAACTAAGGATACCGAAATTAACAATACAATTTAAAAACAGTCACTCCATATAAAATGGCATGTAAAGAATGCTGTTAAGAGTTTATAGTGTTCATTTGATTCTCACAATCTCACTGAGTACGAAAAACAAGTCATACCACCCCTGTTTTATGAATAATGAAACGGAGTCTCAGTAAAGTTAACTGGCAGATCTGGAACTGGTCAAGCTACCTTTCCTGTGTTTCATGTACCTTTACCATCATCATTTAGTAAACACTATATTAGAGCTGGCTAGGTGCCAGACATTGTTTTAAGTACTTTATCTGTTCTAACTCATTTAACCCTTATAACAACCCTCTAAGTTAAGTCCGTAACTATTATTCCATTTTCCAGAAACCGAGACACATAGAGGTTGAGTAACTTGTCTGAAATTAAAGAGCTTAAGCCAACATTCAAACCCAGGTAGTTTGGTTCTCAGTTCTGTGCTCCTAACCAATTCATTAGGCTGCCTTTCAAATATCTAAAGCACATTTCTGTGAAAATTGCATATTAAAAGTTAACATATTTCACAACCATTTATGTTACATAAAAAAACACAAACTTAGAAATATGCTTTAAAAATTAACACTATATATAATACAAATAGAAAGAATATCTAGACTGATTCTTCAGTATAATATAAAATTTACTCAGGCAAGAAACAAAATAGTATAACAGAAAGGAGAAATAAATGAATATTTAATAAACCACAAAAGTTGGAATAAGTGGAAACAGTGGCCAAAATATTCAAATAACAAATAATTTTAAGGGGCCAGCCCCATGGCGTAGTGGTTAAGCTCAGTGCGCTCTGCTTTGGCAGCCCAGATTTGTGGGTTTGGATCCCGGGCGCAGAGACCTACAGCACTCGTCAGCTACACTGGGGCAGTGACCCACATATAAAAAACAGAGGAAGACTGTTAGCTCAGGGCTAATCCTCCTCAAGCAAAAGAAGAGGAGGCTTGGCAACAGATGTTAGCTCAGGGCTATTATTCTTCCTCAGCAAAAAAAAAAAAAAAAGATTAAAAAAATACAAACTATCTTTTATAACAACCAAAATCCCTATGGCTAATAAGCTTTTAGAGAACAGTAATGCTATCTAATGGTGTCCTCTTGTGGAAAATACTGAAGAAAGGTGAGTTTTGAAACATCCTTTAATTGCCTACAGGCAAAGTAAACAGGTCTTGAAAAAACACTCAAACAAACCTAACATATAAGAAGTTTAATCCCCATACTGGTGGCATCACTTAATGATCTATTTTAATTCACGGTCATAAAAATAAAAATCTCTTCAGAACTGGAATTAAACATTAAGTATTTAAAGTTGTTATTGATTCCAAATAAGACACTAAATAACTGTTAAAAATATTAAATCATAAACTAAAATTTAAATTGTATAATAATCACCTCGATTTCAAATTTGAATTTACTAATGAACTGAAATGCATTAAAAAGGCAATGTTACACAACAAATTTTGTAGAACCAACACATTGTGTGAGCCAACTTGATGCAAAATTACAACTACTAAAAAAGAAAGTTTCAATCTTACACTTTTATCTGATGCATGAATATCTATATTTCCATAAATTGTTCCCAGACAGATCACTTTGCCTCCTTTTGTTTGAACATGTAATTTTTGACTCTGAAAGACAAATATAAAAATACACATAGAGAAAAAGAGAGAATAAATTTTACTTATACTAATAAAAAAATCTTCAACATTTTGTACACTTCTTTTTAAATAATAATAAAGCAGAAAAAGAGAACCAGGGATGAAATAGAAACGCTCTGTTTGGAATAATAACCTCAACTAGCAAAGAACGTCAACTGCTGTTGACATGACTAAATAAGCAATCTGGACTCAAAGAGAAAAAAGAAGAGAGACGCGGGTGTTCCAGTAGCTTCCCTGAAGAAGGGCTTGGGAATCAAAGCTCACTGTGACCAGCCAACTGAACAAATTGATGATGAAGATGACAACTATAATCACTGTTACTGTTCACCGTCATTAATAACCACAACAGTCACCACTTACTTGGCATTTTCTTTGCACCAAATATGATATTCACTACTTTACATGAACTGTCATTGAATCCTCACAACAACTTGGAGATGGGTATTATATTTTTCCCATTTCACAGAGGAAGAAATCCAAGAATCAGAAAGGTTAAATAACTTTATCAGGTGACACAGTTGGAAAACAACAAAACGTAAACTAACAGTGACGATCAAGCTCTGTATCATTTCAAAACCCACACTCTTATGGCTGGAGTCATCTGAAGGAGGATATATTCACACTTAGGGTAACAGCCCACTGACTGCTTAACTTTCTAGCACAGCACATCCCAGAAACTGGAACTAAGCGAAAAGGTTGCTAAGCACAAATAAAGCAGTAGTCACAGTTAGCTTCCTCTGCCAGACAAAACATGTGTATATGTGTGTGACAGCTGATTTCACACTTGGAAACAGTGGTAGAAACTACTATAGGTCCACCAAAATCCATCTTTTCCTCCAAAGTAAGAGGAGTATAGCTGGGCCCATGAAGAGACAATATTTTCCAGCTTCCTTTACCTCTTAGGTGTTGCTAAGTTCTTGCCGAAGCAATGTAAGTGGAAATGCTACACGCAATTTCCAGGCCAGTGCTTTTAGAAGAGTTGGTATGCCTTCTCCGTGCTCTGCCCCTTCCACCAGATGAGAGCAAATTACAATGAGGCTCTAAGAGATGGCAGAGCCAGATGAAAGGAACCTAGAATGTCTGAATAGAAAAGAGCCACCCACACACTTGAACACACGTGAGAAATAAACTGCAGCTTTGTATATGAGCCATTAAATGTTTGGTCTGTTTTTTAGAGCAGCTTACTCTACCTTAACCATTTACACGTCTTCAATTCTGCCACAATTACAAAGAGAAAAAGAAAAGGCAAATAGCAGAAGAAGAAAAAGAGCAAAGCAAACTCACCAATACCATGACCAGCAACCGCAGAGAAGTGTCTAGAACGTAGGGAGAAAAAACCCAAAACAACCATAGATACCGTCTGGTTGCTTTACTGAGGGGTCACAGTAAAACCTTAGGTAAAAGAGCCTAGGAATGAATTTCAAAAAATTTAGTGAAAAGGGCAAAATGAATCATCTTTAAAAGTTTATCTTAAAAGTTTACAGTATGACAGACAACGCCCATAGAGACATGAGTCTGAAGTCAAATTGTATTTATCGTCTTAATCAAGCAGACAAGCAACTGATGAACTTTAGAAAAGAGTATCTCCAAAATAACTGTCATTTTAAATCAAGAGTTCTTAACGAAGTGTACATGAATTTCTAGAGTCTGTGAAACTTAGGAAATTGTAAGCAAAATTTCATATACTTTTCTCTAAGGAGACAATCATCAGGTTTTCAAAGAAGTCTAAGGCTCAAAAATGTTAAGATATTATTATAATTTAAAGCTCATCTAATTCCAAAAAATACGTGAAGTAGATTATAAAATATGTAAAACAAGATACTTAAAATAAATGTTTAAATAAATCAAACTATTTAGTAAAATATAAACTATTATACTGCATAAAATGCGAATGTGTGGCATGCAATGAGTTAAGGGTCTGTTGCCTAAAAAATTTACTTATCTATTCCCTAAGAAAGCTGAATAAATGCAGTATTGCCATACATTTTGCTTGGACAATAAAGAAACGTTAAAGAGTATGAGCTTACAAATCACAAAGACCCAAGTTCAAATCTCAGCTCAATTTATTAGCTATGTAAACTTAAATGAGTTCCTAAACCTTGGTACCTCACACTTTCTTCCTTCATAAAAGGAAGATAATTGAAGAATTAAATGAAGATTTAGCTAAGTTTCCGGTACATGAGGATTCAGTAAACAGTGGCTATAATTATTGCTAGAAACATTTTATTTTGTTGTTGTTAGTAATGTTGAGTCGACTCCGTCTCCCTGTGCACAGCAGAGCAGAACCCTGCCAGGTGTTCCTGTGCCATCCTCTCACCTTCCAGCACTCTATCAGACAATGTTCCAGCTGCTATTCATAGGGTTTTCATGGCCAAGTGCTTTGGAAGTGAGTGGCCATGTCCTTCTTCCCAGTCTGTCTAGTCTGGAAGCTCCCCTGAAATCTGTCCAGCATGGGTGACGCTGCTGGTATTTGCAATACTGGTGGCAGAGCTTTCAGCATCACAGCAACACGCAGCTGCCACAGTACGACAACCGACGACAGGTGGTGTGGTTCCCTGACAGGGAAACGAACCCGGGCAGGGGTGGCGAGAGCACCAAAATCTTAACCACTAGACCACCAGGGCTGGTGGAAGGGGCAGGTCTACGACATCTTATTACACAGATCAAATATATTTAAAGTCCTTAAAATGAGTGGAAGAGAAATATATAAATAGGTGATCACTACTTCGAGATAGTGATACTGTACCATATTTAAAGCTTAGACCAGATTATTTCACCAAATGTTCCCATTTGTGAATTTAAGTCAGTTAAACCCTAAGATCTCAAGAATAACTCTCTTAACCTTGGTGTACACCATTAGGACCCACTGACCCAATTTTAGTTCTTGAATTTCCTTTTTGAGCTATTCTGTTTGTAAGGACTGACATTTTATGACCTGTATTCTTTCTCAGAGGTCTTCCAAAGAACAAATAGAAAACATACTTATTTTTTGAAAATATTCTATCTTAAAATTACTATATTGGCCCACTGGACTCTTGTAAATCTAAAATATATGAGATCTTAGTGTTCCTGTTTTTCACATATCCTATAATTTTTTGCTATTTCATTATCCTAGGAGTTATTTCATCATTAATCATTAATTATTCCCAACTATGCTAAAAAGTAGACTAAAATATTTAGACAATAGAAGAATGATGGACTTTCCTAGAAAGGCAGTTCTCAACTAAAGGGGGTTTTCTCCCCCCGAGAACACTTGGCAATGTGTGGAGATATTTTTCACTGTCATAACTGAGGAGTGTGCTATTGGCCTTTATTTAGTAGGCAGATGCCAGGGATGCCTTTGAACATCTTACAGTTCACAAGTCAGTCCAACAACTAAGAATTATCCGGTCTGAAATGTCAATAATGCCAAAGTTGAGACACCATTTTTCATTTTAAGCCCATAATGGCAAACAGAAGAAAATTAACAAAAAAGATCTTTCAGAATTATGAGATAAATCAATACAAATGCAAAGAGACAGACAGCAGCATACTAGCTTCTAATTTTGACTGTGAAATTGAAAATCTAAGACTCTGAGTCTTCAGAGGACAATATTCTAGAAGAACTTTCTGAGACTCAAGCATTGATGAGTGAATGATATATTTCTAAGGACCAAAAGGAACTATGGTATTCTCATCTGGTTAGTCACTCCACATAAAGACTCCACTGTGCAATCTTTTACAACAAGAACCTAAACCATCTCGTTTTGCTAAAAGGACATGTGATAGTATTCTTTAATCTTTTATGATATTTGTGCAACAAAATTTATTTGAAATGGTTTACATGTGGACAGATCCTAAAAGCAGGTGTGCAAACAAAGGTGGCTGGAACAAAGCAAACGACATAAAAATTTAAAAATGCATCAAATTAATCGTTCTAATTAGTGTTTATAAATCTAAAAATGAAAATGTTTTGCAATTATGAAGCAAAGATGACTGATTTCTCTTCAACAAAGTTATATGCCATCAAAGTTCACAAAAGTATTGTTCTGAATATGCGAGTCTAAGAAGCACCATCAGTAATGATAAGTAATGATAGGTTTTACTATGAGAGGTGTATTTGAAATCACTTGGAGCTGAGACCAATCTAATTTTAAGAAAATTAAATATCAAAGTGTTATTACAAAATAAGATGAATCATTTGCTGTTTGGCACAAATACCTACTGAATCCTTAAGTAATGAGCTACCTGGTACATAAAAATGTGATTAATCAAATATTTTAAGTACATTTATAGTGCTTAAAGACTTTTCCTTACTCTTTAACAAATGGGTGAAAGTCATTCGTTAAAAGTAAAATTTCTTTAACTTAATAAGATCTCAGAATACTAAGAATGTACTATCAGTTTCACTGTACACTTTGAAAGGGAATCTGAAAGGAATATGAGGAAAAACTTTCAAAGCTGCTACAACGTCTGTACTTTCAGAACAGAAGTGATTTCAAGGCAAAATTCTTGCAAGGAATTTCTGAGTGATGAATAAATGATACTCAGTACTTTGAAAAATAGAATAGCTTTAGTTTGATTCTGAAGTTCATAGTTTAAGGTTTTTTAAGAAAAGAATATTGAAACAAAATTAGAAAATGCTTATACCTTAAGAGACTGTAAGATGCTGGTCCCCTGCTCAGTTTCAATTTTACAATTATCACACTCAAAATTTTGGACTTTTACACAGCCAGACCCTGATGACTTGATATTCAAGTCTAGAAATGAAAAAAGAAAAAACAAGTTGGTAATATGGTTAATGGGCTCCAAAGCACTTTAGCACCCCCTAGAAATCCACCTTATGGATTATGTCCAAAATATTGCTGAACCCTGGAGAGAGCATATGTGTCAGCAGTCTCTCTCTAAAGGGGTATTCACCACAGCAACAGGACCAAATTTAATGCCCTTTTCTGCCGTTTTTTTTTTTTTTTTTTTTTGGAAATAAAGCAGTTATTTATTTATTTAGTTATTTTGGGGGAGGAAGATTCACCTTGGGCTAACATCCGTGCCAGTCTTCCTCTTTTTGCTGAGGAAGATTTGCTCTGAGCCAACATCTGTGCCCATTCTCCTCTATTTTGTGTGTGGGACACTGCCACAGTATGGCTGCTGACGAGTGGTGTAGGTCCATGACCAGAAACTGAACCTGAGCCCCTGAAGGGGAGTGTGCCTAACTTAACCACTAGGCCATGGGGCCAGCCCCTGAAAGCAGTTGTTCTGTTAGCCTATATCATCTAACGAGAGAAAGTAACCTAGCAGGGAAGTAAAGGAGGCCAGAGACTCCAATTCTTATGGGCATTCCCGGGAAAGATCACAGAAGCTTCTTCCCCACTGAGAAAACACACACACACACATACACACACACACACACACACACACACACACAGTCTGAGTAAGAAAACAGCAAGTGAACAAGTCATTATGGTAAACTAGGTAAATCAGTTAGCCTATTCTCTCTTATATTCATGAAGATTTAAAGATTTGTTCCCAAACCTCCTCAAAATTAAAAGCTCATTGCAGGAGTAGCATGGATCAGTATATATGATCATAACTTAGGTTTTCAAATCCTATCTCTAACCTTTCTTATCTAAAAAATGAGGCTATTACCATGTAGCTATATCACAAGCTATTTGAAATAATAATAAATGGGAACAATTTTTTGAAAAACCTGGTACTAAAAAGTATTAAAAACACAAGATTGTGGATAAACAACAGTGATATCTGAAGAAAGTTTGGAAAATATGGAGTCACAGATGCCATCCTTGGTTGTCAATTTAAGGCATAATCTTAGGTGTGTCTGTATAAAAATAAAAATCACTGATATTTAATACCTAATCCAAATACATATTGATGATTTCCCTTAAACCAGACTAGAGAAATAAACTATGTTGCCCCAAACACAAACTACCGGGGCTAACACCACAATTTCAATAGCTGTGGCATAAAAATCAGCTTCTACAGTTGTGTGCATGGCAGTCTCTGCCTTATAAAGTTTTAAAATAACAGCCATATTTTGGTTGGATTCAATCTAAAATATATAAAAAGACAATTTTACCCGATACTTAAATGGATACAAACGTAGCTGCAAAACCTTTACCCAGCTAAGCAGTGTTACAACGTAAGGCTTGATCTAAGGGCAGCGCTGACAGCCACAGGAAGAAGGAAACACTCTAAACATACTCTACCCTCGTTAGGTAGGTAGAGAGGTGTAGACTAGACACCAAGCAGTGCTAAAACGACTCACTCATCCACCCAAACAGGCAACAGACAGACTGGAGGAACAAGTAAGGAGGAAGAAAACTGAATTATGCTAACTGCGGGGCCCATGGAATAGACTTACGGAAACAGTAAATTGGAAACGGGGTTCTGGCGCTAAAAAGAGGAATCAACTATTGGGGTTTGGGATCACCAGCATAGGGAGTTCTAATTTTATCTGTGCTGCCATAAAATTCTGCTTACCTCTACTGCAACACTCAGTCTATTTTGCACCACAGTAACATATTGGCAAATCTTCCTCCCCACCCCAGGCTGCTAGATTTTGAGATCAAGGTCTCTTCTTCACCCGGGCTAGTTAAAAGAAACCGAGAAGCAGCAAAGCACAGAGGTTCAAATCCCAGCTCCACTGCTTTATAACTGAGAAAGAACCGGTCTGTTTCTTGATCTACCCCCACCAGAATGCAAGCTGCATGAAGGCATGGGTTTTCCTATTAGTTCACCCACAACAAATACCCCCTTTACGAAACCTGGTGTATCTCCCTTTCCTCCTCTGATTTGGTGACAATAACAGTATCTACTTTATCGTGCAATCCTAAGGATTAGAGATTATCTAAGCAGGGTTGGCTGCCGTTAGGATCATCAACATCCTCAGTCAGGCCCAAGAGGGCGGACAGCCTGTCGGACTTTCCTAGAAAAGCGTGTGCACACAGTGGCTTGCATCTGAGAACTAACAGGGAACCCAAGACCTAGGAGACACCCTGCAGGCACTACCAGCTGAAGTTTCCCAGGCAGTCCTACTGTGTGTTCCCCCCCAAAGCCTGCTACTCATGGAGAATTTACTTAGGCCGAAAATAAGAGAGATGTCTCAGGGAGAAGCTAGGTGCCTATTTGGAACCAAACACGTGGTCCAGGTGAGATGCGAACATCCTACTGACAGGGCTTTTCGGGGGCAGAGCAGGGGGAAACGTGGATGGACTGCCGCACCATGAACGCTCTATCAAGACATTTAACCCTGAGAAAGATCCACTTTGCTGTTGACAAAGCGCCAAGAGAGAACGTAAGGGGTTCAGCGGATGTCATCTGACTCAGATGATTCCAAACCACCTTCCCGTCCGATTCACAAACTTTCTACCATGGGGAACCTGATTCCTAACGACAGAGGCGGCTTCCGAAGGGGACACCGGTAAGCCGGCTGGACGGGCAGACCCCACACGGGGGGCGCACGTGGGCCTCGGGGCTTCACTTGCCGAAGTGGAGCGGCGCGGCCACCTCCACGGACCCCCGCGGGTCGAGGGAGTCGGACAGCACGGCCACCTCGCGTAGCGCCTCGTCGTACGCCACCCGCAGGCCGGACGCGCCCGCCGCGCTCGCCGCCACCAGCACGCGGTCGCCGTCCGGGTAGGCGAGGGGGTCCAGCGGCCTCACGGCCAGGCGGCACGGCAGCCGCGCCCGCAGCCGCCCGAACGGGCTCACCCGCAGCGCCCACTCCGCCGGGGCCTCGGGCTCCGACCCCGCGGAGCCGGACGACCGGGCCCGGCGAGCCCGGCACGCCCCACCGGCCCACACTCGGAGCTGCCCGAGCGCCCCGGCCGAGCGGGGGGCGAACATGGCGCGCCCCTCTCGTGCTGCCTCGGACGCCCTCCGCCACAGGCCACCCTCGCACGGCCGGTGGGCTTGGCCGCTGAGCGCGCTCAAGTCAAAAAGGGGACGTCTGCAACGGTGTGCTAAAGCAAGAGCACGACCGCTCACGACCGCAGGCTACCGCAACCGCCCGCGGGCACGCCAGAGCGGCCGACGGAAGGTCAAAGCTCAAGCTTTGACCCAAGCTCCTCGCCTAGCCCCGCCCCCTCCCAAAGGCCGACGGGATAGGTAGTTCTTCACGAGGCCAGTCGTCGAAGGGCTCTGGGCAGCGTAACACTACAAATCCCAGGAGGCAATGCGCACGGTCGTAGGGGCAGGAACCGCAAGTGTGAAACCCGGCTCAGAAGGCGCGCGCTCTTTGCCTCAAGTCCGTTAGCCATTGGAGGGAAGGAAAAAAGAAAAATCTACGTGAAAGTCAAGCTGACCAATGGAAAGTGCGGAAGGTGCGAGGTGGGCGAGGCTGTGTGGTTTCCTTGGATACCGAGGACGCGACTTCTTTGGAGAGGGTGGAGCTTTGAAGTGCGACTCAAGAGCTGTAACCCACAGAGAAAAATAGCCTAAATAAGGATCGGGACGAAGGGAAGGGGTAAGAAACTGTGCTTTAAAGGTGCGAACTAGATGCAAAGTAGAGGTACCCTCAGGGGACGGTTAGCTCCAAGCTTCACTCAACTAGCGCGGGGTACCCCGGGATGGAGAATCCCTTGGTAAGAGGATAAAGAGCCAGACTGGGGCTTTTTAAAGGAACTCCCTCTTTGATGGCAAGTATAGGAATAGGGTTAGAGTCCTGCCTTCTTCCTGACTCTGAGTGACCTTAGGCCAGTCACTGGACGTCTCTGGGTTTCAGTTGTTCGCTCTGAAAATGGGATCAGTAATATCTTCTTTGTCTTGCCTCAAAGGATAATGGACGTGAACGCGGTGTACAGGCTACAAAATTGCAATGTAAATCACTGTGTTTTTATTTTAAGGATAGCATGACTGTAAGTTACCAAGAAAAACTTGAGAGATCATGTCTTGTGCTGACAACAGCATTGATCGCTCTGACTACAAATGATCCTCGGTTTTAGGGCTAAAATAGCAAAAAAGAGAGAGTCAGAATAATACAATGGGAAGATCGTGGAACTGATTATTTTCCTGGCTGTGCCATTAGTTTATCTGAGTCACCTGGACCTGTTTCTTAACCTTAAGATGTGGAAGGAGTGTACTAAATGACTCCATAAATCTTCTGTAAGCCTTTTATTATTCTGTGGGCAATTTTAAAAATGAAAATAAAAAAGACTTATTTCCTCCTTTCTTGCTTCTCTCTCCCTTTCTGTGCCCCCTTCCTCCTCCTACAAATCCTTCCCTAAGTTCTTTAGCAAAAATACGCTGCAATAATAAAATGCAAGTGCTGAAACTGAATGCCTTAAAAAATTGAAGCCCTTGGCTCAATGCAGTAACCAGAATTCCTGGGATCTCTAATGCTAGAGAGATGAGCTAAAGTCTAAGGAGCTGGGCTAAAGTCCTCAGTCCTCACAGGCCCACGTCACAGGGTTCTTTGCTAGCCATTACCTTTTAAAAAATTCAGTGTCTTAAGTTATCCTTTCCTCCTTTCCATCCTCCTAGTCCTTCCTGCCTCCTTATTCGTCGTCCTAGGGAAGGCTCGAGATAGGTGCCGGCTTTTAGTTTCCACTGGAGACTAGTTGTGTCCTGGCTTCCTGTTTCATTTGGTCATAATTATTCAGACTGATCTTCAAACTCTATTTTTAATGAAAACCCACTGGAATAACTTTGAAAAAGTCATTGGTTTAGGTAAGTTGAGAGTGCACTCAAATTTTTTGTACACATTCCAGATATTTTTAAATTAAATAGCAGTCCCGAAGAGATAATTTTATTTCAATGGTAGTTTTCCCTTTTCTGAGTCAAACCAAGTTAATGGAATTGACAACTGACCCCTGATTGTCTATGTGGCAAAATCATTGTTTTACTATTTTCAGGCAAACAAAACTGAAGAAAATTGACTGAAAAATTACTATTCTCATTATATGAGTTTGAAAATGGAGAAAATTATTGATATTAAGATCAATATAAAATATTAAAAAGTCATTGATACTTTAAAAAGTCTAATGACTTATATATCATATCTGTCCACATGTCAATAATGACTAATAAAACACTAGCTTCCATCTGTATAACATTATAGTTTTCAAAACATGTTCACATGTATCATCCCGTAGTGTCCTCATAAAACACTCTGTGGGTAGCAGGGCAAGTCTTATTATCTTCACATCCTTTTACCCCTCCACCAAAAGATCCTTCTATCTTCCTGACACCTTTGAAGAAAAAAGATTATTTATCAAACGAATGGAGAATCATATATAACTTTCCTCCCTTATTTGGAGTTTACTTGTAAGGTATTTTTACATCTTCAATTTAAAAAAAAATTCCTATTGTCATGAACATATAGCACCGGTGGGAGTGTAAGTTATCACCAACTTTCCAGAGTTCAGTTCAGCAATTTGCATAAAGCACCTCAACAATATGTACATCCACGACCTGGAAATTGTACTTTTTGGAATTTAATGTAAGCATAAAATTAGGGATGCTCAAAAAAGTTTATATTTGAAGAATTTTGTTTTATAGGGTTACTTATGATAGTGAAGAATGGAAACAACCCAAATGTCCAAAAATAAAAGGGTGTTACGTAAATTAGTATACATCTGGAATATGCAACAGTTTAAAAATTATATTTTGAAGATTATTCAGTGATATGGGAATCTTCCATAATATAGTTGTAAAGGGAAAAGCTAGTTTTCCTTCCATGTGTGTCTCCTTTACTCTCACACTACTACCACACTCCTGACATTTCACTTCTGACGCTTCTTGTCACCAAATGTGTGGGGTTTTTTCCCTACAACAAGCAATTCTCTTTGACACCAGCTGAGCGTCCTACAATTTAACTCTGTTTGACACTGACAGTATCTGACTCTCTGACACTCTCTATCTGACACTATGATAGTGTCAGATCTCACAGGTTAAGGGCTCAGTCCCACAAGACTTCTCTCACCCACATCAAATGCCAACAGCAAGTAGTAGGTCCCTAGGTTACCCACAGTTCTGTCCCTTTGGCTGCAGGTCCGAGGGTCCCTGCTCCCCTCCTCAGGTTCAGTTAATTTGCTAGAGTGGCTCCCAGAACTCAGGGAAACACTTCCTCACATTGACCAGTTCATTAAAGGGTGTGATAAAGGATACAGGTGAACAGCCAGATGAAGAGATCCGAAGGGCGAGGTCTGGGAGTGTCCTGAGCGCAGGAGCTTCTGTCCCCATGGAGTTGGGGTGTGTCACCCTCCCAGTATGGCTGTGTTCACCAAACTGGAAGCTCTCAGAACCCCATACTATTGGGATTTTTATGGAGGCTTCATCCTGTAGGCATGATCCATCCTATCTCCATTTTCAACTCTTCTTCCTTCTCAAGAATATAGGGGGCAGGGCTGAAAACGCAAAGCTTCTAATTATGGCTTTTTCTTTCCAGTGACCAGCCCTTGTCCAGTAGCCATCCAGAAGCCCACCCAAAGTTTCCCCATTAAAACAAAAGATACTCTTATCACCCAGGAAATTACAAGGGTTTCAGGGGTCCTGTGTCAGAAACTGGGGACAGAGACCAACATGTATTCTTTTATTCTCTCTCAGTAATATTAAGTGAAAAGAGTATTGTATTTATAGTATGATCCAAATTCTGTACTAATAATAATATTAATTCTATCATAAAATTGTATTTAAAAATATAGTCCTTAGAAACATTCCAGAGGGAAATACATGACTGGATAACAATGGTTATCTATAAATAGTGAGATGATGAATTATTTCTTCATTTTGTGTGTGTGTTTTCAATAGTGAACATACATTACATTTAAAAAGTATTTCTTAGCATATATTGTTTCCTAAGACTAACTCAAATAATGAAATAGGTGGAGGATTTCTTCCCATCAAAATGTAAATACCCATGAATATTTTACTTTATTTAGTAAATTATATTCAATAAACGGACAGCAGAGGGCATGAGAGAGTCTTCAGAAAAATATAATCTAAAAAAGGGTTCTGGAATTCAGCTTACGTGAAGGAAGCCCTAGGAATTTGCTAACTTTCTTAACTATTAACTTCTAAAATAAATCTCTCTTTTTTTTTTCTTTTGAGGAAGATTGGCCCTGAGCTAACATCTGCTGCCAATCCTCCTCTTTTTGCTGAGGAAGACTGGCCGGAGCTAACATACATGCCCATCTTCCTCTACATTATATGTGGGACACCTACCACAGCATGGTGTGCCAAGCGGTGCCGCATCCACACCCAGGATCCGAACCCGGTAACCCCGGGCTGCCACAGTGGAAGGTGCGCACTTAACCACTGCGCCACTGGGCTAGCCCCAAAATAAATATATCTTGTGATTTCTTTTCTTCTTATGAAATCTTGTAAAACTCAATAATTTAAACTAATTACTAACAGTACTAAGAAGTATTTAATGACTATGTAGGTAGTCCCTTTTGAAATCTACGTGTTATTTGTTTCCATGCAGATGATGTACAGGAAAAAGTTTGTTATTTAATGTAGTCAAATTTCCTCACTTAAAACATGTGAGAACTTGCCTAGGTTCCACAAAGGTAGGGGGATATGTGTACTCTGTACATTAAACCAATATGTATTTGTGTGTTTATACGTGTGTCTAAGATAATATTTATTACAACCAGGGAGTTTACTTGTAATAGAAAAACTTTAGAAACTCACTCTAGATTAGAGTCTTTTTTTTTTTAAATTTTTTTCCTTTTTCTCCCAAAGCCCCCTGGTGCATAGTTGTATATTCTTAGTTGTGGGTCCCTCTAGTTGTGGCATGTGGGACGCCGCCTCAGCACATCTTGATGAGCAATGCCATGTCCACACCCAGGATCCGAACTGGCAAAACCCCGGGCCCCCGCAGCGGAGCACACGAACTCAGCCACTCAGCCATGGGGCCGGCCCCTAGATTCGAGTTCTTGTATGAAGCTGGTGCTTCATTCCTTTCTACAAGGTAGCAATAGTGTCTCAACAGTCACACAGTAGAAGCATTGACATATCCCTCGAGTAGAAATTCTAATTGTATTTTATATATTTTGAGGCTATGCCATTAGTTATGTATAGGTTCACGATTAATATCGCTTCCTAAAAAATTTTTTTTGTCATTAAACAATGACCATCTTTATCTCTAGTATTGTTTTCTGTCTTGATGTCTATTTTTATCTGATAATAATAATAATAATAATTTCATCCTTTTACTTCAAATCTATGACATTATATTTGGGACTTGTCTCTTATAAACAGAATACAGCCGGATATTTTAAATCCAATTTGCGAATCTATCTCCACAGGTAAAGTTAGTCCATTACATTTTTTTGTAATTACTTTTACATTTATACTTATTCTTACCATCTTATAATGTGTTTTCTATTAACCTTGCCTTTTTGCCCTTTTGTTGTTGTTCCTCTTTTTCTCCATTCATGTCTTGTTTTAGTCTAAATGTTTTTCTTTATTCTTCTTTTTCCTCTATAGTAATTTGGAAGGCCATTTGGATCCTTGTTTCTA